TAGCCCAGGCTGGTCTCGAATGCACAACAGTCCTCCTGCCTCAGCCTCCCAAGTGCTAGGATTGCAAGCATATAGTACCACACCCAGAACCACTTATATGTAAACTGATGAATTTATATCACAATGAAATCATTACGAACAGAAAAGTAGATACTGTATAGAGAAGCAAGGGAGTTGATAGGTTACCTGGAATTCATTTGCTTTAAGAAAAAGAATCAAAGTAGAGACAATATTTTCAATTATTTGAATGAAAAATGTGAGATAAAAAAGAGTGCATATATGGATACATACATACATACTCTAGCTCAAGTTAGTCTAAAAAAGGTCTTCTTGAATAGACAAGTTAGGTAAGGAAGGAAGTTAAGTAATAGAGAACATTAAAATCATTGTAATTAATCTGCTTCATGAAGTCACAATGGATTCATTATGGATTTCTGAACAAATACATGATGACTAAAATGATGTCTGTCAAAAGATTCTTAAGGTGGTTCCTTAAAATATGATGCTTATATGCAAATATGTGGGTCAAGATATGTCCTCAGAATCTTTAAGTGAAAGAAATTCTCATTTAAAAGTTAAAAGTTCTTTTAATTTTAAAGGTAAAAATAGTCATTTTGAAGCAGATTTAGAGAGAAAATCATTTCCTGCCATCCTTAGGGAAACAAAAACTTTTACTGAAAGAAGTTAAGACAGAATTTCATAACAAAATAATAGGACAGTAATAGTTAATACACTGCATACTGTTATCCTCAAAGTAGATACTCAGAATACACAACATGAGCCTAGAAAAGTCTCCAATCCATATTAGCATAAACCTTAATCTCAATGAAGTAAAAGACACTAGTAGTTAGCTAATTTGCTTTCTTCGCTTTTCCACCTTTCTTCGTTTCCTCTTTCTCCCATCCTAGTTTCTTTTTCCTTTTAAATAATTTCTTCCTATTTCACAGTAATTGTACATTTTAGACCTTATTTACTGTTTCAGTTTCTCACACCAGGAAGGCAATACAGTGCTTACCCAGGTGAGTCTACTTAATTTCACTTGTAAGTATGGTCTCAAGTTGTATCCAATTACCTACAACAGTCCCAAGTTTATCCTTCTTTGTGGCATAGTACTCCACTGTATAAAATAAAATCTTTTGTTAATCTATTCCCTGGTGCTGGGCATTTGAGTTGCTTCCAAGACTTAGCTATTACAAATTGTGACGCTATAGACATGGTTGCACAATTATCACTGTGGTATGACACTCTTAGTTTTCCTGGGAATATATACAGAAAGGAAATAGCTACATAGAATGGAACCTCTAATCTTAGTTTTTTGAGGAATCATCACACTAATTTCCTCAGTGGTTGGACCAGCCTACACTCCACTCGTCTGTTGACATATACAGGTTGCTGCTAGGATTTAGATATTATGACTTATACGACTGTAAACATTAGTATGCATGTGTTATTAGAGCGTGGAGATTCCTAGAAGGGGGATAGCTGAATGAAATAGAATTTCTAATTTTATTTTATTTCTTTGAAGATTTTCCATGATGGTAGTTCTAGTTCACTTTCCCAACAACAGGGATATTCCTTTTTCACAGGACTCACAAGCATTTATTTTTTTAAATTTATGATGATTGCCATTCTTTCTCATGTAAAATAGAATCTTATCACTGTTTTAATCAGCATTTCTCTAACGAACAGGGATGTTGAACATTTTGTCATACAATTGTTGGCTATTTGCATTTCTTCTTCAGAATTATCTGCACATTTCTCTTGCCCATTTTTTGATTGAGCCTTTATTTAGGTGGTCTGACTTTTTTAGTTCTTCCTATATTCCTAATATTAATATTTATCTACAGAATAGCTGTCAAAAGTTTTCCCATTTGGTAGGTTATTTCTTCACTCTAGTAGTTGATTCCTTTGTTTTGTAGAAGCTTTTTAAATGGATTCAATACCACCTGTTAATTTTTGCTGTCATTTCTTGTGCAATTTTAGTTCTATTTGAGAAATCCTTTCCTATACTATGATTTCAAATGTTTTACCTTTATTATCTTCCAGTAGATTCAGTGTTTCTGTTTTAGTGTTTATATCTTTGATCCATTTTTATTTTAATTTGATACACAGTGAGAGACAACGTCAATAGTCTACAAACAGATACTAGCTTTCCCAGCACCATCTGTTGAATAGGCTCTCTTTCCAACAATGTATGTTTTTGGAGCCTTTGTCAAAGATCAAATACTTGAATGTGTCTAGGGGTGTTTCTGTATCCCCTACTGATACACATCTGTTTTTGTTCCAGCATCATGTCACTTTTACTAGTGTTGCCTTTTAGTACTAGCCTGAGATCAGGTAATGTGATGCCACCTGCTTTGCTCTTGTTTTCCAAGATTGCTTTTTCTATTCTGGGTCTCTGTTGCTTCCATATGAGTTTTAGGATGATTTTCTCTCAGTGAAGTCTAGTTCACTTGGTATTTTGACTGGGACTGCTTTGAATCTGCAAAACAGTTTTGGTGGTATGGTCAATGTCATATTGGTTCTACGTATCCAGAACCAGGGGACATCTTTCCATATTCTGATGTCTTCTTCAATGCCCTTTTCATAGTTCTGTAGTTTTTCTATAGAGGTCTTTCACTTCCTTCATCAGGTTAATAACCTGGTATTTCCTTTTTCTTGACACTACCGTAAATGATATTGTTTTCATAATACTGAATTCATTAATGTCTATATATGCTATTGTTTTTGAGTACTGATTTTCTATCCTGTTACATTACTGACGTTGTTTATTAGCTCTACAAGGTTTTTGTGGAATTTATTTTTGCATCTTCTACGTAGAATATCATGTCACCTGGAAACAATAATTTGAGTTCTTCCCTTTCCATATGTATCCCTTTTCTCTCTGGCTAGTGTGTCAAACACTATGTTGAACAGAAGTGGTGAGAATGTGCATCTTTGTCTAGTTCCAGATTTTGGGGGAAATGCTTTTATTTTTTCCTCATTTAATATGATGATGCCTGCTGGCTTGTTATTAATAGCTTTTATCAAATTTAGTTATGGACTTCCTAACTATTCTTTAGAATTCTTTTCATGAAGTGGTGTTGGATTTTATCAAAATCATTTTCTGTATCTATTCATATGATAATGTCATTTTTAGCCTTGCTTCTGTTTGTGTGATGTACTATATTTATTGATTTGTATATGTTGAACCATTCTTGCATCTCTGATACAAAACTTACTTTGTCACAATGTATGATCTTTCTGATGATAAATTTCATTTTATTAGCTAATATCTTGTTATGGTTTTCTCTATGTCCATTAAGGAGATCAGCCTTTAGCTTTCTTTTTCAGTTGAGTCTTTATCTGGTTTTATAAAGAATTGATGCTGGTTTGCATAAAAGAATTTGGAAGCACTCCATCCCTTTCAAATTCTTTAAAGAGTTTGACAGGCATAGTGATATACCCTTAAAGGTTTTTATAGAATTCAGTAGTGAATCTAGCAGGTCTTGAACTTTTTTTAGTTAGTAGATTCTTTATTACAGTTCCAATTTCTTGTTATTAGGCTTTTCAGTATTTTTGTGTCTTCTTGGGTTACTTTTAGTAATTTGTATGAGTCTAGGAATTTTTCTACTCTTCAAAATTTTCCAATTTATTGGAATGCAATTTTTTGGGGGGTAGGTACTATCTTCTGGATTTTTACAATGCTTACTGTGACTTCAACTTTTCCATTTCTAATTACATTGATGTGAATCTTTTCTTTTTCTCTTGGTAAGTTTGGCTAATGCTTTATCTATTTGGTTATTCCTTCAAAGTTAGTTGATGCTTTATATTGTTATTTTAGTCTCAATTTCATTGATTTCTGCTCTAATGTGTATGATTTCCTTTTTCAAACTGGGCTCGGGCTTTGCTTGTTGTTGTTTCTCAGGTATCTTGAGGTTCCTCACAAAGTAATTTATATGAATTTGCTCTTTTCTGAATGTAAGCACTTAGCACAATGAACTTCCCTCTTAGAATTGCTTTCCTAGTGTCTGAGAGGTTCCAGGGAATAGAACAGAAATTTTCATTAACTTCTAGAAATTGTTAACCTTCTTCCTTGGTTTTTCTGTAGCCCAGTTCTTCCCTAGGTCGTGCTAAAAGGCACTCCGATTTCTTCAGCACTGATTTCTAGCTTCACTGAGCACTGCTCTGATGTGCACATGGGGCACTTCCAATTCTTTTTTCTTTATTTAAGCAGACTTTGCGGCCTAGTATGTGATCTGTTTTGGAACAAGTACCATATGCTTCAGAAATAGGGCATAATATTCTGTAATTTCTTTACTGATTTTTTTCTTTAGTTTGATCTATCTCCTTGCAAACATGAGGTGCTAAAATCCCATTATGACTAGGTCCACATTTATTTGATCTTTTATGCTCAGCAGTCTTTATTTTATAAAGTGAAGTGCTTCATTATTCAGTGCATTTATATTTATAACATTATGTCATCTTTTTTAGCTGGTAGATTCTTTATTACAGTCTCAATTTCTTGTTATTAGGTTTTTTAGTACTTTTATATTTACAGTATTTTTCAATTGGTAGATTCCTTATTACAGTCTTGTAAGGGGTTGTTCTCTACATAGTATATAGTCACCTTGTCACTTCAAAATCACTTCAGCTTCAAGTTTACCACGTCTGAAAGTAAAATGCTACCCCTGCTTTTGAGGGTACTTGTGCATGAAATACTGTTTTCTATCTTTTGATTTTTAGTCTATGAGTACCTTTTTGGGTTAGATGAGTTTCTTGAATGCAACAAGCTGTTGGAATCTGCTTTTTTGATCCCTTCTACTAGTCTGTGTCTTTTAATTGGAGATTTGAAGGCATTAACATTGAGAATTACTGCTGAGCTGTGTTGATTATTTACCACCATTGCATTCTTTCTTTGTTGATGCCTCTTCTGTTTTTCTTTTCCTGACATTCTTTGTTTTTTATCATTAACCTTACTCAATGTTTTCAATTCACTTGGATTTTTCATTTTATTGGTTTCATTGTTTCTCTATAAGATATTCTTGAATATTTTCTGCAGCGCTGATTTTATGATCTTATCTTTTGAGCTGATCTTTTTTATGAAATTCCCTCATTTCTGCATCTAATTTGAAGAAATGCTTTGCTGATTATATCAATCTGGAACGGAAGTTATTTGCTCTTAGGACTTGAAATACTTCACCCAAGCTCTTCTTGCCTTTAAGGTTTGTGTTGAGAAATCTGCTGTAATTACAGGTGGTTTAAATTTATATGTAATTTTTCTTCTTCTGTGGCTATTTTTATAATTCTGAAAGTTATTGGGGGATATATGGCCATTTAGTAAGTATTAGTGTATTAGTCATTGCTTACTAGAGTGAGATGCAGCAGAGCATAAGACATGTGTCCACACTCTGGGGACCCAAGGTTCAGCTGGGAGCTTGGAACCCTTAACAATGACTTGTGTGAGTCCATATCAGGTCTGAAGGATCCACCATGGAAAACAGAAGGACCCATTCTGGAAAGGTGCAAGGACCAGTGCTGGAAGCTAGGGCTGAGGGGCCTACAGGGGAAGCCAGGAGACACCATCCAAGATGAAGACAAGGACGGATACTCCCCCAAGAAAGAAAGCAGTCAAAGGTCCTTCAAAGAAAAACTGCTGAAACTCTGGTGAAGAAAAACAGCTGCCACAAAGCACCATCAGAGCTCAGTAGAATAAGCGCTTGCCTGGCAAGCGCAGCATCCTGAGTTCAATCCCCGGTACCACCAAAAAAAAAAAAAAGTAAATTAAAAAACAAAAAAAAAGCACCATCAGCCAAAATCTTTTCTTCCCATTCTTATATACCACTGAACAACCATGCCAAATCAGCTGGGCATTCCCACTCACATTGACAATTAATAAACTAACATAGTGAAGTGATTTTTTTTCATCACAGTAGTTTGGTGTTCTGGTAGGCTTGCTTACTTATATGTTGAATTCTTTTTTAGCTTGGGGAATTTTCTGCTATAATTTCTTTAAACATATTAATAATTCCATCTGTGTTATGGCCTATCTTTTCTCCAACTCGTCTTAGGTTTCTCTTTTCAATGATGGAACTTTTTACTGCCATCTGGTAGCTGTTGGATGATCTCTTCTCTCAGTATTTTACATTAACCACCTGTCCTCAAATTCACACTTACTTCACATTGGTCATTTCTGCAATCTATGGATTTTATACAGTTTTGTACCAACTTCTCCCAAGGAATGTAAACATTATTTATTGCAAACATGTACTGAAAAAAACATAAAAAACAAATTAAAAAGTTACCAAATAACTAAATATGCTGGCAGGGATGTGGGGAAAAGGAATCCCTATACCTTTTGTAGAGTAGTAAAACCACTCTAGAAATCAGTATGGAGATTCCTCAAAAAAACTAAAAATAGAAAATGCATTCAGCTAAGATATTCATCTACTTGTACATTCCTGAGAGTTAAAGATTCATACTACAGTGCTATATGCACATCCTTGTTTGTAACAGCAGAGGTCTTAACAGCTGAACCTTGGACATGGCCTATATAACCATCAACAGATGAGTGGATAATCATGTCTATGCACAGTGGAGTAGTACTCTGCTATAAAGGATAAATTTGCACCGCTTTTAAGAAAATCAATGCACCTTGAATTTATGATATTAAATGAAATAAATTAAACACACAAATTTATATAACCCATGGTTTCTCTCATATGAAAAATCCAAACACTAAATGAATTAAAGAGCAATATAAAGGACAATAGAAAAGAAAAACTACAAAACTTTTGCAAATGAGAAAGGGCTCAAAAGATAAAGAGAATTGAGAGGAAAGAAGGAAAGGAGACGTAAAACAGAATTAATATGTGTCATGTACATGTGCCATCTACCCAGAATGAATATATTATGTATTGCAAACTGGTGCCAATAAAACATTCAGTTGACAACCCTGTGAGGTAGTTATCATTACCCTGGTATAGCAAGTATTTTTTTTAAACTGGCAACTCAACTACCTAAGAGTCACAAGGTATTAAGTATCTATCCAAAAGCAAACTGAGTTTAATTGAATGTAATTTGTTTCAATCTAACTGCTTTATCCTTCAAGTCATTTTAAAATGCATTTCCTACCTACCATCATATTCAGAAAGACTTTGCTCTTTGCAGAGAGCCTTCATAAAGTCCTCTAAATTCACCATTCCACTTTCTGTAAAATAAAGAATTTTGATTACATATTCTGCTGTAACTAGGCAAAAAGTTAGATTCACATTTTAACTATAAAAAAAAAACCTTTATCTCATTACCCTCTTTCTTCTTCATATTCTGTATCTGAAGATGAATCTTTCTGAATTTGGTCAGTTCATTTTATTTCAACAATTATTTAGGGTATATTACTCCCAACAATATACTAAATTCTTACTGTGAGTAAAAGAAAAGGTGTCTGTATAAGTGGGTTGTGAGAATGTTAGAGAGTCTACCTCATACCATGATGAGAACCCAGTCAATGTGTCATCCATTAAGACTTCTGGACAATATGAACCAGCCCTGACAATCCACATAGTCCTATCCACACCCCCAGTGTCCATGCAGTCCAATTAACCAACTATTTTAGGTATAAACTTCCCATAGTTTTTGTACCAATAATAAGAAACAACAGAAAAAGTTTAATGACTGATTAGGTAAATATAAATAGATATAGATACAAATATAAAGAAATATCTTATCTCATTTGTCTGAGCTAAGAACTTTTGCCCAGGTTCTGAGATTTCACATCTAATGTAATGTTATTTCTTTCCAGGCATTCTTTCCCCAAAATATTTCCTCTTCCCTCTCCTTAATTTGTATAATTATTAGTTACTAATAAAACAATTTTACTAATATTAGAACCTTTATTTGAAATTTAAATTCTTCCTTGAGCCTAGGTTTGTGAATGGAATATGCCATTGAACATCTTGGTGCTACCTGCCTTGATGATCACTAGCTATAAATTTTCCTAAAATTTTAAAAATTCCAATGACTGCCTCCCTAAATTCCTAGAGTGCTTGCCAGGAGATTTTTATGCCCACAGGACATTGTACCCTTTACCTGAACCTCTCTAGAGCTGGATCAGCCTTCGCTAGTGCCAGCACCAATCTAGAATGCCCAGATGTGCAGAGCTCAGAAGAACCTTACTGAAATGATTCTCATCTATGAAAGGCTTAACCCTGCCAAATCAATGGATTAGGTCAGAATTTCCAGGAACTGTTTTACAGTTTTCCATTTTTTTATCTCTTCTTCCCTAATCTTCCTTACAATGGTTCATTCTGTTCCATACCTGATTGAGAAACATTTTTCTAATAGTTACAGTATCTCCACACTATTTTGCAGTTCGACTTTCACAGATTCAGTTTCCCAGGTTTTCAAAAAATATTAATCTCCCAGAGGGCCCACCCCACCTCAGCAGGTCTACCAGGAGCAAGCCAGGGAAGCCAGCAGCACCCAGTGACCCACTTGGACGAGGCTCACCTGGAAGGAGCCAAACACACAACCAGACCCAAGCCAGGTATGGCCAGAGTTAGAGTTCAGTAGATCTAGACCCAGGGAGGTGAAGTGTACTGCTTTGCCCAGCTGAGCCCAGACCAATGCCCAGACCTATAAGAGTACCCTTGCAGTACAGAGGTGGCAGCAGTGGGGTGAACTAGTCTGCCTGGAAGACTCCAGGTGCCTGAAGTGGAGGTGCCCACCCAGAGCTCAGAGGAATTCATCTAAAAACCAATTCCCAATTTAAGATCTGCTTTGTTATACAGCTACAATGTTTGCCTATGGTCTAAAGTACAAACCCAGTAGTGGCAAAGTTTGCCAATTTCTAAATTTCAATAGCTGTTATTAGTATTGCTAACTGTACTACTATAAATAGGAAACCATCTCCGCCTTAACCACCTGTTCTCCTTTGGGTGATAATATTAGGAGGTACTTGGGTAATAACCTCACCAAAGCCCTGCACTGAAGGACAGAGGACAGTGCCAAACAGAAATCAGTATCTCACTCTCAGTCAATAGAAAAGGCAAAATCTTGGGATACGCACTAAACAAGAATCTCTGACACAAGAGAGATTCCTAAGAAACAGACTCTTTACAGAGAAGCTCTGACTGCAGTGAAATAGCTGCCTACTTTCAAAGTTTCAGAAAAATGTATCACAGAAATCAAAATAAAGAGTTATCTCTGAAATAGAAAGTGACAGAAAGAAGGAGCAAAAAGCAATCTCAGGAGCCAAGCCCAGCCAGAACAAACCCAGGAAAGATTAGCATAGAAGAAACTGGAAGCTAGCAGCTGAAGTAAGGAAATAATGACAGGAGGGTATAGAAGAAATCAGATCAGAAATAATCTCACAAGTAAAAAAGAAAAAAAGAAGTGATAAATATAATAAAAGAATTACTACACATTTCTAAAGAAGACACTGATTAAAAAAATAGAGGAGAATAGAAAAATGATGGAAACTTGGAATGAGCAATATAGGAAAGAAATAAAATGCAAGAAGCACATTTCAAAGAGATATAGAAGAAATTAAAACCTTCATTAAAAGTTGGCAAAACCATTTGAATGAAAGTGAAGATAGACTTTCAGACCTGAAGACACTGTTGCAACTAGTGAAAAGGTAAGTAAAGATCTCTTAAAAACAACTACAATCCAGAAAATAATAATTCAACAGCTACAAGACATTGCAAAGATGAACAATGTGAGACTAATAGGCATCACTGAGAACGATGAACCCAACACAAATGATATAAACAGAATATGGGCAGAAGTAATAGCAGAAAACTTCCCAAATACAGGGAAACAATCTGACATTTAGGTAACTGAGGTATATAGAACTCAAAAAATTATCAACCCAATTAAAACTACACCCAGACATACAATAATCAAGATCCCAGAAATTCAACACAAGAACATCATACTAAAAGTGAGTAGAGGGGCCGGGGAGATGGCTCAGTGGAATAAGCGGTTCCCCAGCAAGCGCAAGGGCCTGAATTCAATCCCCGGTTCCACAAAAAATAAAATAAAATAAAATAAAATAAAATAAAATAAAATAAAATAAAAAAATGAGTAGAGAAAAGAAACAGATCACATTTAAAGGAAAACCCATCAGAATAATAGCAGATTTTTCCTCACAAATCATCAAGTCAAGAAGAACATGGAGTACTTCAGCTCCTACAAGAAAACCAATTTCAATGCAGGCTGATATACCCTGCTAAACTCTCTTTCAAGTTTAATGGAGAAGTGAAATACTTCCAAGACAAAGAACTAAACAAATTCAGGATGACTAAACCAACCCTACACAGAGTACTGAAAGATATTCTAGAAAGGAATCACAATTCCAAGAAAGACCACAATTCCAAGAAGTACAGTGGAAAGAACCAACCAAACAGAGCAAACAAATAAACACAGGAGAAAAATAGGGAATCAATGACAAGAAAATAACATCACAAACATAAGTCAATATATGTTAATTAAAACCACCACTGTAAATGGACACAATTTACCAATTAAAGGAAATAGACTGGCAGGGTAGATTAAGAAACAAAATCTAGGGGCTAAGGAGATGGCTCAATAGAATAAGCACTTCCCTGTCAAGTGCAAGGGCCTGAGTTCAATCCCTGGTTCTGAAAAAAAAAAAAAGAAAGAAAAGAAAAAGAAAGAAAAAGAAACAAAATCTAAAAATATGCTGTATACAAGAAACATATAATCCATAAAGAAATTCATAGGCTAAAAGTCAAAGGATGGAAAACAATACTACATGCTCCAGGGCCTCAGAAAAAAGCAAGGGTAGCTATTCTGTTTGTAGACAATCTGAACTTCAAAGAATGATCAAATAAAATAAAGAAGGTTGTGAAATAGAGGTTAAGGGAAAATTCAAGAGAAAGATAACAGTTATAAATATGCATGCATCAAATATGGGAGCACTCAACTATATAAGATAAATTTTAAAGGACACAAAAAGTCTAATAACCAATATCACAATCTTAACAGGGGACCTTAACACACCCTTATCTAAAAAAGATAGGTCAAGCAGACAAATATTAGCAAAGAAGTAGAACTGAACCAAACATTTGAACAAATGAACTTAGTGGACATATACAGTTTTCCAACCAACAACATCTGAATACACATTCTTTTCAGCTGCACATGGGATGTTTTCTAAAATAGATCACATACTAGTCCATAGGTCATACTTAAGTATATACAAGAAAACAGAAATTATCCCATGCATATTATCTGACCACAGTTCAATGAAACTGGAAATTAAAAACAAAAGAAACCATAAAAATCCCATAAACATATGGAAATTAACACCCTGCCCAGCAACCAAAGGGTTATACAAGAAATTAAACAATATCTACAATCCAATGAAAATTCAAACACAACTTACTGGAATTTGTCAGATGTGATAAAAGCAGTTATCAGAGACCAGTTTAGAGTCGTGAACTCACACATTAGGAAAACAGAGCAAAAACAAATAAATACCCTAATGCTGCCCCTCATGCTTCTAGAAAAGAAGAGCAAACCAAGCCCAAAGCCCAAATATGGGAAGAAATCGTCAAGATTACAGCAAAACTTAATGCAATTGAGACAAACAACACAACACAAAGAATTAATAAATCCAAAAGCTGCTTCTTTGAAAGATTAAATAAAATTAATAAACCTCTAGCCAACCTTCTTAAAAATAGGAAGGAAAAAACTCAAATTCAAGCAATAAGGAACAAAAAGGGAGAAATTACTACAGATACTGTGAAACTCAGAAGATCACCCACGCCAGCCCCACCCCTGGGCACACTGAGAGGCAATGGAATCCAGGGGAGGTGGTGCACACCTGTAATCCCAGCACTAGGGAGACAGAAATCAGGAGGGTCACTATGAGTCCAGGCTGCGTAGTGATAGCCTGCACACACAAAAAGGGAGGTCATCAATAGCAATTTTGAAAATCTTTATTCTCACAGGATCAAAAACACAGAAGAAATGGACAGATTCCTAGATAGATATAAAATGTCAAAACTGAATCAAAAAGATGTAAAAACTCTGAATAACACAATATCAGCCAATGAAATTTAAAATGTAATAAAAAAAAAACTTATCAACAGAGAAAAGTCCAGATCTTGATGGTTTCACAGTTGAATTCTATACAAATTTTAGAGATGTAATCCCAATGCTCCTCAAACTCTTCAGTGAAATTTAAAAGGAAGCAATGCTCCCAGAATCATTCCTGGAGGCAAGTATTATACTGATACCGAAACCAGAGAAAGATCCAACCAAAAAAGAGAATTACAGACCAGTCTCCCTCATGAACATAGATGCAAAAATCCTGAATAAAATACTAGCAAATAGAATACAGCAAATCATCAAGAAGATTATACATATGACCAGGTAGGATTCATCTCAGGGACACAAGGATGGTTTAATGTATGCAAATCTATAAGTGTAACACACTATGTCAGTGGAAACAAAACCAAAAACCACATGATCATCTCAATAGATGCAGAAAAAGATTCTGACAAAGTCCAACATTCATTCATGATCAAAGCCCTACAGAAAATTAGAATAGATGGCCTATATTTCAATCTGATAAAAGTCACCTGTGACAAAATCAACAGCCAACATAATTCTAAATGGAGAAAAACTGAAAGTTTTTACTCTCAAGTCAGGTACAAAAAAGAAAAAAATCAGATACAAGACAAGAATATCCTCTATCACCACTCCCATTCAATATAGTTCTGGAATTATTAGCTGGAGCCATTAAACAAGACAGAGAAAAGGAATAAGCACAGCTAAAGAAGAAGTTAAACTATCATTATTTACAGATGCAAAACCCAAAGAACTCCATCAAGAAGCTCCTAGAACTAATAAACAAATTCAGTAGCATATCAGGGTACAGAGCCAACATCAAAAACCAATAGCATTCCTCTACACAGATAATAAACTCACTGGGAGAGAAATTAGAGAAATAATACCCTTCACAATAGCATCCAAAAATTAAATACTTAGAAATTAATCTAACAAAGGAAGTAAAAGATCTATACAATGAAAATTATAACCCCCTAAAGTAAGAGATCAAAGAGGATTTCAAAAAATAGAAAGATATCCCCTGCTCTGGATAGAAAGAACCAACCTTGTGAAAATGGCCATACTCCCAAAATTGTTATACAGATTTAATACAATCTCTATCAAAATATCATCAACATACTTCACAGATCTAAAGAAAAGACTCTTAAAATTTATTTGAGACCAGAAAAGACCTAGAATAGCAAAAACAATCTTGGGCAACAAAGGCAAGGAGGAAGCATTACAATCCCTAACTTGAAATTATACTACAAAGATACTGTGATAAAATTAGCATGGTACTGGCAATAAAGCAGACACAAAGATCAATGGAACATATTAGAAGATTCAAATACAACTACAAGCAAACTCAGCCATCTTATATTTGACAAAGGAGCCAAACATGCTCACTGGAAGAAAGATAGCCTCTTTAACAAATGGTGCTGGAAAAACTGGCTCTCCACATGCTGAAATCTAAAACTAGACCCAGGTCTATCGCCATGCACTAAAATGAAGTCAAGGGGCCGGGGAGATGGCTCAATGGAATAAGTGCTTCCCTGGCAAGCGCAAAGACCTGAGTTCAATCCCTGGTTCCGGAAAAAAAAATAAAATAAAGTCAAAATGGTTTAAATATCTAAACATTAAAACAGAAACACTAAATCTCCTAGAAGAATAAATAGGGTGAAAACTTTGAAGACATAGGAGTAGACCAACAGCTCATCAACAGAAACTAAACTATGGGGGAAATACTCTAAAGAATCAACAACTGGGACCTCATCTTATTGAGAAGTTTGTGCATGTGAAAAGAAATCACCAACTAAGTAAAAAGACAACCCACAAATTGGGGAAAAAATTGTAACCAACATTCACTCAAAGGGCTTATATTTAAATTACATAAAGAACTAAAAAAAATGGGCCCCCAAAATTTAAAGATCCAATCTAAAAAAGGGCATCTGAGATGTATACACAATTCTCAGAAGAAGAAATACAAGTGGCAAATAAATACATGGAAAAATGTTCCACAGCACTGGCCATTCAAGACATTTAAATTAAAACCACATTGAGATATCATCTCTTGGAGCTGGGGAGATGGCTCAGTAGAATAAGTGCTTTCCTGGCAAGTGCAAAGGCCTGAGTTCAATCCTTGGTTCTGCAAAGAGAGAGAGAGAGAGAGAGAGAGAGAGAGAGAGAGAGAGAGAGAGAGATCATCTCACCCCTGAAAGAATGGCTATCATAAAGAAATCAACTAATAGGTGCAGGGATGGGGGTTCAATCCCTGGTGTGCCATGCCAGCCCCTCCCCTGGGGCTCACTGAGAAGATGACTGAGACAGGGCACAGTGGTGCGCACCTGTAATCCCAATGCTTGGGAGGCTGAAAACAGGCCTTACTATGAGTCTGATCCATGTAGTGAGACCCTGTAGACACTGTACTAAATACATTTAAAAAAGAGAAATCAACTAATAACAAATGCTGGAGAGACTGTGGGGAAAAAGAAACCTTTCTCAACTGTTGGTAGGAATGTAGAATGGTACAATCACTGTGGAAATCAGTGTGGAGACTCTTCAAAATCTAGGGCTGAAAATTCCATTCAATCCAGCTATTCCCCTTTGGGTATTTTCAAAAAAAAAAAAAAAAAAAAAAAAAAAAGAAAGAAAGAAAGAAAGAAAGAAAGAAAGAAAGAAAGAAAGAAAGAAAATATCATGCCATAGTTATACATGTGCACCCATATTTATAGCAACACAATTTGTCAAAGACAAATCTCAGAAGCAACCAAAGTGCCCATCACTTGAAGAATAGATGAAAAAGATGTTGTGTTTTTATACAATGGAGTACTACTCAGCTATAAAGAAAGACAAGCTCGAAGGCTTCATAGGTAAGTGGATGCAGCTAGAGGCTATACTCATAAGTGAAATAAATCAGACCCATATGTGTAAATATCATATTATCTCCCTAGTGTAAGAACCTGAAAGAAATAAAACCTGAAAGGTATAATAGATATAGTAAAATGGAAAGAAACTGAACTTAAGGATTAAACAACAAAGATGAGAGAAAGGAGAAAAGATAGGGGAAAAGAGGGAAAAACATGCAAGCATATATGCAGGATGGCTGAGATGATTGTACTAATAATTTCCATCAGTGTTTTGAAAATAGCAGTTAATGTTTAGAATTTTCACCTTGACTAACTCTGTATGCTGATATCTATGATCTGAACAACTACAGAACAGCAATGTATAACACAAAACCCGTGGTTGAATACCTCTTATCTTGGTCTTCTAAATATGTACTGTTTCTAGTGTCATCGATTATTACACTCTCCTTAAAATAATTTATTTTTAAAAACAGGAAAAAAACTAAAATTTCTTGAAAATAAGCATTAGTATTCAATTATTTGTCCAATCTTGCATAACTATATGTGTTAGTCTGAGCAATAGATTTGATGTTAAAAATAGATACTATAACCATTGTTAATTAACTATTCTTGTTTCAAAAACCCGTAATATATGTATTGTTGTTTGTTACTCTGTTTCTGTCTTTTTTTTCCTATTTGTTTTTGCTTCTGCTTTTACTCTTCAAAATAAAATAAAGTTAAGTTAAAATACAAAAAGTATTAATCTAAATTTTTGCTATATCATGGGATTTTGCAGTACTGTACAATATGCATATGTTGTTAAAATTACATAAGTTTACAGTTTAAAAAATGATCAAGAACATTAAGTGTTTTTAAAAGTGCAGGAAAGGTTTTGAAGAGTTTGGGAAGGGTTTATAAAGCCTTAAAATATATAAATACTAAATCATAACGTCACTACTTCACTGATTTTCACTTATCGTGGGGGAGTCTGGAACATAACCTGCACAATAAGTAAGAAGCCACTATAATCCTATTCCATAAAAAACACGATTTTCTCTGAATTCGGTGTCACCTGTCTCTTACCATTTCTAGTAGTCTCTGTCATAATCTCCTGTAAGTCTTCATCTAATAAAGTAATTCCTAGAGAAGGCAAAATGTGCTGCAGCTCTTCGGGAGCAATGGAGTTTTCTTGGAGCTTACTGATAGCATCACAGACATTCTCTAAGTGTATGAAAGACAGAGGATGCTAAGAACCAGAATTCCGTCTATTTCATTAGTACCTAAATATTTAATAGAGAACAACTCTTATCTAATCAATATTACCCAATGGAAGGACTGCCTTTCTCTCCCCAATTTTGTTTTCTTATACTCTTTCTCTTTTAGTTCAAACACAAAACTGCCCCAAAATTCTAACTTATAAACTACCAATTTTGAGAAAAGACGTGTTTGTACCCAGATAAAGCTGTTTGCTTCTGATTACACTATATCACAATCCAAACGTTCCAAGTCACGGAAGCCCACGCATCGAGGTGGGGTTCTGGTCCTCCCCGTAAGGTTACCCTCCATGCATCCAGCTCACAACCTTCAGAAGGTGAAGCTCCGAAGTCAGCTACGCTGCTCGCGGGCCTCTTAAAGAATGCACTTCTGCGGTATTCAGGTAAAATATTATAAAATCTGGGCCTTGGGATTTGGCTCAGCAGTAGAATGCTTGCCTAGGTTCAGTTCTCAGGACCAAAACAAAAAATACATCTCTCAAAAATTACATAATCTGAATTTATTCATGATGAAATACAAGAAAAATTCAAAATGAGTGGCATTAGATAAGTAATCACTACTCCTCAAAAGTATCACAATGGTTAAAAAAAATGAGGAACCATCACAAAATGAAAGAAACCAAGAACATATGACAATTAAATGTAATATGTGTTCCTGGATTAGTCTTGGATCAGAAAAATTACACTTATAGAGATTGGCAAAATTCAAATAATATCCATAGATTAGTAAGTAGGGTTGTGTCAGTGTTGATTTCCTGGTTTAGATCATTATGGGTTAATATGAGACAATAACACTTGGTAAAATTAAAATGTATCGAGGGAATTTATTCTACCTTTGCAACAATTATAAATGCAAAATTAGTTTAAAAGTTAGATATTTGAAATTTAAATCATTGCATTATTCACATTCAGTTACCACCAGTTTCTTTGTGGAAGTTATACCAAATAAACTATCTAATACTTCTTTATATAGAGAACATAAATATGGCCATAAGAGATGCCATCATTTGATTTTGGTTATCCAAGGCAGGTATAGAGCACCCTTTTGAAGACCTGTTCTGTCCACTTGCTGAAATGTCTACTACTCCACTATCCCATTACCCCAGGGGTTTATTTCTGTTGAAATGCAGTGAAGCCTCAGAAATAGAAAGGAGGCACAGAGTAATAGCAGCACATCAGAAAAGAAATCAGTGAAAGTCTCTAATCCTCCTTAATAGATCATAACTTTTCAATAGTTAAATTATGCATTAATCACTCAATTTTCACAAGGCATCCATTATACCTATTATATTGCATACTAAATGCAATATAAAATTCAATAAATGTCTTTAAAGAAAACAAGCATTTTGATGGAAGTAGCACAAAAGGGAGTGCACAAATTTGTTGGAAAAGCATCGTTCATCTCTGAGGAAACCCTAAAACCTTTAGAGACACGAGCTGTGTCACACTGTTCTCCCTCCATAGGAGATAGTGTCTAAAGTACTATGAATTAAAGCTGTGGAACACGAAATAAAAACTTCAGACTCTCTACATATTCATTTAAATAAATTACAAACAACTCTCAACTCTCTAGGGAATTTGAGTTACTCCAATTAATCACTTAATAAGCTTATAACAGAAAGTTAAATTCCCCAAAAAGGGGGAAATCCAAGAAGGAACTAACATCAAAGCCACAGAATGACATACATTAGCGTAGGCAGGCATCAATACGCTGGTCACCCAGGATACTGACAACTGCTTAAACCTATCCAATAACAGATTAATTCTGCCCATTTCTATGACAACCAAAACATTCAAGGACCTGATTCTGACTTATGTACACGGTACTAACCCAGGGTATTCACTGCAGTTTTTTCTTTACTTGAAACATGTTTCAGGAGAGTTGCATCCTTTCTCACAACAAGGTTCTCAAGTTTTGGGATATTAGAAATACCATTTTTATCCAGAGACTTATTGACGCTTGTAGTACTCTTCAAGTTTGGTAGTTTGGACTTTGAGTCATAATTCTCAGCTTTCTCTGAATGCTTTTTAAAATTCATGCCACTCTTTGCGTATGGTTCACCAGGAAATTTTCTTATCTGTTCAAAATTTTTTGATGGTTGAATTTCAGAATCATTTTCTTCCATAATTTTTCTAGGATATTGTGGAATTTTTTTAATCAATTTTTTAGACATTGATGATCCAGTCAGTCTGGAAGGTAGACTGTACTTCTTCTTATATTGTAGAGAGTATCCTTCTACCTTTGGTAACCTTTTCTTTGAAGCAGTTTCATCCAAATCTGAATCTTCCATAAAGACAAGAGAAACATACTCAGTTATTTTGGTACCCATGTAATTTTTGCTATATTTCAAAAAAAGTCTTCATAAAACCCATTCAACATATTACCAACTAAATATACAAAACAAAGTTTAACCAGTTGAAAAAAAACCAAAGGGCTGATCAAAAAAATAAACTATTTGTTAGGATAAATATTATAGTGCAATACACTTAAGTATTTTAACTTAATCTATCATCTAAAAGTTACACTGAAACTTAAGTGATAGACTATTGAAACACATCATTTATTCTCTGTTCTTTTTCAGTTTAGAAATGTAATAGATCTATAATTAATATAGATAGATATCTCTTTAGTTCTAAGGGTATAGAACTATAGGAAAATTTATGAAGTTATAATAAAAATAATTATTTTCATGATAGTCTCAATATTCGGAGAGAAATAACTTCATATGTAAGATAGCATTTTTATAAAAATATTAGCCCAACATTCCAAACTAAAATTTAACTTACAAAATTCATATGATGGTACAGAATAACATCAGCAACACTGCCAGATATAAAATCAACATTTAAACTCAAAATGAAATAAAAATACAAATGTAAAACCTTAAACTATAAAACCAAAAAAGGAAAGCATAGGGAAAAGATTTCAAGGGGTCTGTATAGGGTCCATGGTAGCAAACCTTTTAGAGATGAGTGCCCACACTGCAACCCAAGACCCACTTATTTCTCACAAAGTGCCCACACTGCAATTAAACCTGAATACGTGGTATTACTTTGGATAAAATAACTCACACACTAACATCTTTTGTCTTAGAAGAAAATCAAATAACAAGTGGGCGATAGGTTTTCCACCACTGGAATAGGTGATTTTTTGACAGATTCCAAAACACAGACAAAAGCAAAAATAGGTATATTATATTACCCCACAGTAGGAATGTACTGAAAAGCAAAGGAAGTAATCAGCAGAGTGAATAGACAACATACACAGTGAGAGAAAATGTAGGCAAAATATTACACTGACAAAAAAATCCAGATACACAACTAACTCAAAAATAACCGAAATCAAGTAATCCAATTAAAAACTGAAAAAAAAAAGATATGAATAGACACTTCTCAAAAAAATAATAAGCAAATGGCCAACAGGTATATTAAAAGTGCCCAAAATCATTAACTAATAGCGAAATCCAAATCAAAGCCAGTTGGAATGAAATTATCTAAAGGACCCAAAGAAAGCGCTGGCCACAAGGCATGGCCCGCCTGGGACAGCACAGCAAGTCACAGGCCGCCACAGAGCAGCGCGGCGGGCCACCACCGTCCACTAAGCCCCGAGCAGCCCTCTGTTTTGCTTCCACTTGGCACAGGGCTGCAGAGGTGCAGGCTAAGAAAGCACTCAGATCCTGGATCAAGCGTCCACCCAGGAGATGGCAAGCCTGGGCGGACGGCAGGCCCAAGTCAGAAGTCCAGACCTCTCCAGCAGCTTTAGGGATTCAGTTGTTACACTCACAATGTGACTGAGAGACAAGTGTAGGGTAAATACACATCGCTCAAAGCTACCCACTGTAATGAGCCTGTATGCATCAGCACACACACACACACAAAACATGAGAAGGCAAAATAACAAAACAACTCCCAAAACAATAAACTCCTCTAAAGTTGATTTATGCGGCATCAAAGAAAAAGAAATCAAAAGCCACGCAACCCAATTATTTGAAATGATAACAGGCAATAGCAAAAGAGATTAATAAGACACTTCAGTGAGTACAAAGAAAATTTAAAAAACAGATAATGTGCCAAAAAAAAAAAGTGAGTCTACACAAACACTAATAATAATTACCTGAGCCAAACAAAGTAATACAAAACATGCATGACCAGTATAAAAAAGAAATAATCCATAAAGAGGTACCAAGCAGATACTAAATTTTTAAAAATCATTTATTTATTTGTTTGTTTATTTATTTATTTGCTACATGGCCTCACTATAAGCTCGCACTCATAGTGACTGTCCTGCCTCAACCTCCCCAGTGCTGGGGTTACAGGCACGCGCCACCACACCCGGTTCCGGTGGTCGGGATGGCATGCAGTACTGGGGATTGAACCAGGGTCCCTGTGCTTGCCAGGCAGGCACTCAGACCACCAAGCTATCTCCCAGCTCCCAAGCAGAAATTAAGAAGTTTAGGGCCTGCCAAATAGCTCAGTGGACTAAAGCGCCTGCTTAGTCAGGCGCAGGGACTGGGATCTGATCCCCAGTGTGCCATGCCAGCCCCACCCCCCAGGTGTGCTGAGAGGGCAACTGAGACTGAGCGTGGTGGCACACGCCTGTAATCCCAGGGCTTGGGAGGCTGAAAACAGGATACTCACTCTGTCGGATCTGTGTCATGAGACCCCATAGACCCTGTACTAGAATATACAGAACACAAAAAAGAAATTAAGAAGTTGAAAATGTCTACCAAAAATAAGGGCATCAGAAGTGAACAGTATGAGGACAGAGTGTCAGAATATGACAGGATTATTTTAGGGGCCAATCAACAATGTATTTTTTATATTTTTTATTTTTTTGGTACCACAAATCGAATTGAGAACCTTACACTTGTCAGGCAGGTGCTTATGCTGCTGGGATAGCTCCCCAGCCCAAGAAGATTCATTTTAAAAAGAGAACATAAAAAATGGATCCTGGGGCTGGTGAGATGGCTCAGTGGTCTAAAGCACCTATTTAGAACAAGCTAAGCTAAACAAAGCACAGGGACCGCGGTTCAATCCCCCAGCACCACATGCCAGCCAGCCCCGCCCCCTGGTGGGCTGAGCTGGCCACACACACACACACATAAATAAATAAATAAAATTTTAAAAACCAAATTAAAAAATTATGAAAAAAAAATGGATCCAACAGCTTCCAGATGAAAAGACGTGAGAAATTAATTGTAATTACTAAAAAAGTACAAATGGAATTTTAAAACCTCTGTTTACAGAAATAATAGCAAAACTTTCCAAATATGAGAAAAGATTTTTAACGTAAGTTAGGCATACAGAACCTTAAATAACCACAATTTAAAAACAAAATTCTACAAAACTTCCACTATGACACATCGTAGTCAAAAATACCTAGGTTCAATACAAGAATAGAGCATTAGACGCTGTTAGGAAACACAATGAAACTCCCTAGAAGACTGTCTCAAAAAGCAAAAATGAAAAAATGTAAACGTGTTACAAATATAAATATGAATGAACTGCCTAAAACACAGTATATATTGCCTCTGGAAAAGCTAAAGGGAAATTCTAGAACAAGGTTTGTTCTTCCTTTTTTTGTAACAAGCCTCAGAAAATTTGTAATTCTTAGAATGTGGGCACCAGCAATCTTAATCAAATGATATTTAGACAAACGAGAAAAACTATAAGGAATAACACAATGTGCAATAAGAGATGAAAAATAACATATAGTAGTTAATAAAGAAAAACTAAAAATGAATGACAGCAAAACATACTAAAAAATTTAAAGGATCAATATCAGGATGTCAGAATGCCCTACAAATTATAAATTAAATACTATCATTGTTTAGTAGAGTTATTTTGTTTTAAATTTGACTTTATGCTGCACTGTATCAGGGCAAGATAAAAAATTATGATACTGTTATTATATAATCAATATTAAGAAGGTATACTTAGGTATTACATTAAATTTTTATTTCTCTTATTTAAGAGAGACAAGTTTTCTTTTTTTTTTTTTTTAGTAGAACCGGGGATTGAACTCAGGCCCTTGCACTTGCCAGGCAAGCGCTTATTCTACTGAGCCATCTCCCCAACCCAAGAAAGGTTTTCAAAGAAGGCTTTTTAATACTTCTGTAAGGTAAAATCTACATGTTAGCATTTAAAGGAGAATTCATGTATAAACAAGGTTTGCTATAGCAACAAGAGCTTCCTTACAAATATCTTCATACTGGCCTTGTAGAGCATCCAAAATAAATACGATATCTCCAATATCCACCATGTGCTTACCTGTCACAGAATAAACACAAACACTGTGTTTCATTTTGAATAGAGATACAGCCACCATAGTCGTCTAACATGAAAACAATATATAAATATGTGGAGGTATAAAGACAGAAGCTGCTATTATGAGTTCTGGATAATATCTACAACAGTGAATTAATAATAGCTCACTATTAAACACAAATGCTATAGTTTTTCTCCTCAGTACAACAATTTGTTACCAAAAGAAATAGTGATGACTATTTTAGGCTCCGATGCTAGATAACCTGAATAATACTTATTTTATAAACATTTTTGAGAACCTACTAGAGGTAGTATTTGAAGAATCAACTCTTTGCCCTCACTTTCTAGACCAGTGATGGTGCACTTTTTGGAGCCCAAGTGCCCAAGCTGCAGCCCAGCACCCAGCTGCCCCCGCAGAGCACCAACGCCATATCGCATATCCGACGCGCAGGTGCTCCTGGCTCGCGGGCCAGCGCAGAGGGGCCTGTGCCCCTGCAGCACCTGTGACGACGTGGACGCACCGCCACTCTTTGGGACTGGGAGCTCAGTGTGCAGAATTTCAGTTCTGTATCCCTAGTGCCCAGGAACGTATCTCCTTCCTGTCACTTCAGTATGGTTTCTAAGAGAGCAAAATATACTGAAGACTATAAAGAAGAGTGCAGCATCTACATGGTGGGTAGCAGATAGCCATTCACCATCTGCTATGTACCGACACGGCATTCATAATTTTAAT